TCTCTGCACACGTGCGTCAGACAGGCGTGCAACAACGAATGTGGCTGAATCTGACCTTCAAGTGATAGGTGCAAAGACGTCACGGATAGACTTTATGCAGGTTGATCTGCACAACGGGGCTCATTGTGATCTTCAAGTGGACACACAGATGCATCAACTCTGCAGATAAGCTTTGCGCGTGGGTTGATCTGCGCTGAATCTGGAACACCCCAAGCCTAAGGGCGACAGTGATGTCACTGCCGCAGGCTCCACCCTGCTGCTTTGCAGCATTCAAAACCTACTTGCTCCAGTGCAGCTGGACATACTTGTTGAGCGCCACCTCGAAGTCATCAGCAACTGACATCCTCTGCCAAAAGTCCGTCTGGGAGATCGAAATCCTCGGCTTTCCGTTGTCAGACTTCATTTTGTAGTAGGCATCCCGGATCTTCACAAACTGGGCTGCTCCGTGAGGGGTCGGTGGCAACCTCCGCCCAGCGAATGTGCCCACTGTACCTCTCGCAGCCCTCTTCTTGGTGTCCTTTCCCCGGCCGCCCAAGGAAGGAGGTCTGATCTTGCCGCTGCTCTTGGGAGTCGTCTTATTCTCTTTCGGCTTCGGTGGCGGGGTTGCTGAGGAACCCGGCTTCTGAGTAGTCGATGAAGCAGACGATTTCTGGGGAGTCAGCGGTTTGGCAGTGGCCTTCTTCGGGGATTTAGCCTGTGAGGTACCTAGCACTTCATCGCGATGACCCAGCTGCTTGTCGGTCTCCTCACACAGAAAATCTTGCAAGAAGCCCGCCATAGGCACCTAGAGAATCCTGGCAGAGAAGCCCTACGACAAACGTACACAAGGAGCCCAAATACTGCCAGGTCGCAGTTGTCCGGACAAATCAGAAATGTCAGAATGAGTAAATGCTGGCAGGCACCGCAAACAGTGGATCAGTCAATTGCTGCAACAGAGACTTGCTGCCCCGGTCCCCTCCCCCCCATGTAAATGAGGCCGGAAATGACCGTGGCAAAACGCCAAGCCAGCAACTGCCGGGCCCAGACCTTGCCGGGAGCATTTGCGTTTGCATTTGCGGGGGGGGGGGG